ATCACCCCCTCCCCCATCACTTCTCCCCCATCACCTCCCTCCCCCATCACCCCCTCTCCCCAATCACCACCCCTTCCCTATCACGGCCCCTCCTCACCACCCCCACTGCCCCATCACCCCCGTCTCCATCATCACCCCTCTCCCACCCCTCACAGATCCAGGCACTGGAACTGGACCCCAACCTCTACCGTGTGGGACAGAGCAAGATCTTCTTCCGGGCCGGGGTCCTGGCCCAGCTGGAAGAGGAGCGAGACCTGAAGGTCACTGACATCATCGTCTCCTTCCAGGCAGCTGCCCGGGGATACCTGGCTCGCAGGTGGGCGGCCACGCTGTCTCCCGGGTCCTGTTGGCCGAGGCTGGGTCAGGGAGGGGTTGACCAGATGGCTCCAGTGTCAGGGCCTCCAGAACGGGTGCAGGCTGAGGAGTAGGTGGATGGAGCTGCCGGGTGCCCAGCCTTCTTGGTTCTGCAGTCCCTGAGGGGCCCTGTGGGCAGGCCCTGTACAGAGTAAGACTGGCAACACAGACGCTAGACTTAGCCATAGCGTGACCAGCTGTCCTAGTGGGCCTGGGACGGGGTTTCCCAGGGTGCAGGACTTCCAGTGCTAAAACAGAGAGAGCCCGGGGCAACCCGGGTCAAGCTGTCCGCTCTGCCTGCCCGTTCCCTCGAGGGGCTCCAGTCTGGAGGCGAGACTTGCATGGGCACAGAGTCCCAGTCCCGGGTGAGACCTGCTTTGCTGGGGGCCATAGAGGTGCAGCAAGGAGGCCCTGCTGCAGGCCGTGACTGCCCCAGGCCACTCCGGACCACCAGGTGGATGAAGGAGAGTGGGAAAGGCGCTCAGGGCAGGAGGAAGCTTGTGCAAAGGTCCAACAGTGCAAGACCCTGGCGTGCTTCAGGAATACAGGGCGTTTGCGGGACACTCTCCTTCCTCCTTAGAAGTGGCTCAGAGAGGCCGGGTGCGGCGGCTCACACCTGTAATCCCAGCACTTTGGGAGGCCAAGGCGGGTGGATCCCTTGAGGTCAGGAATTTGAGACAAGCCTGGCCAACATGGTGAAACCCCGTCTCTACTGAAAATACAACAATTAGCTGTAATCCCACTCGGGAAGCTGAGGCAGGAGAACTCAGGAGGCAGAGATTGCAGTGAGCCAAGATCATGCCACGGCACTCCAGCCTGGGTGACAGAGTGAGACTGTATTGGGGAAAAAAAAAATGCCTCAAAGAATAGAGTGGCAGGAAAGGATGGCCCAAACACCAGGCTGAGTGGGGCCTCGTCCAGAGGAGCTAGGGAGCCATGGAGGGCTGTGAGCAGGGGCGGGGTGGGTCAGCCCTGGGTGTAGAAGGACCCTCTGGAGGCGTGCCAGGATGGGCAGACAGGAGAGGCTGGAGAAGGAGGCTAGGCAGAGGGGCTGGGGCCGTGGGACAGGACAGAGAGAGTCAGGGGCAGGGGAGCGAATGGCCAGAACACAGATCTAAAAGTAATACGAATGCCTGCACACAATAGGCATTTTATGATGGCTAAGTGAAAGGAGCTTGGCTTGGTCAGGCGCGGTGGCTCACGCCTGTAATCCCAGCACTTTGGGAGGCCGAGGCGAGTAGATCACTTGAGATCGGGAGTTTGAGAGCAGCCTGGCCAACATGGCGAAACCCCATCTCTGCTAAAAATACAAAAATTAGCCCAGTGTTTTGGCGCGCACCTGTAATCCCAGCTACTTGGGAGGCTGAGGCAGGAGAATCGCTTGAACCTGGGAGGTGGAGGTTGCAGTGAGCTGAGATCGTGCCCTTGCACTCCAGCCTACGCAACAGAGCAAGATTCCGTCTCAAAAAAAGAAAAAAAAAGAAAGAAAAAACTAAAAGAAAAAAGAAAGGAGCTTGGCTCTCTTGCTAAGGGCATGGCACCTGGAGGAGCTGAGCCCCTACTCTGCCCCTCACCCGTTTCCCCACCCAGGGCCTTCCAGAAGCGCCAGCAGCAGCAGAGTGCCCTGAGGGTGATGCAGCGGAACTGCGCAGCCTACCTCAAGCTGAGACACTGGCAGTGGTGGCGGCTGTTTACCAAGGTGAGGGCAGCCTGGGGAGGTGGCCTGAGCAGGGAGAGGATAGGGCCTTGGGGCTTGCTCTGCTTGACAAGTGACTTCCTCCATGTGTGCCTCAGTTTTCTCCATCAGTAAAACGGGGCCAGTCGGCCCAGCCTTTGCTAGCTGGGAATCTTTAGTTAGGAAGCGACAAGAAAAATCTGACTCAAAACAACATGGATCAAAGATTCAAGACAATGTGGGCTGCACCTGGATCCAGGGGTTCGCAAGGATTTAAGGGTTCAAGGATTTTCTGGAAGGACTCACAGAACTTAGAAAAGCTGTTGTACTCACAGCTACAGTTTATCACAATACAAAGAAACAGATTGAAAATAGCAAAGGTGCCGGGTGCGGTGGCTCACACCTGTAATCCCAGCAGTTTGAGAGGCCGAGGGGGGGGCGGATCACTTGAGGTCAGGAGTTCGAGACCAGCCTGGCCAATATGGTGAAACCCCGTCTCTACTAAAGATACAAAAATTAGCCGGGCATGGTGGCGCGTGCCTGTAGTCCCAGCTACTTGGGAGGCTGAGGTCGGAGAATCACTGAAACCTTGGAGGTGGAGGTTGCAGTGAACCAAGATTGTGACACTACTTGCTGGGCAACAGAGCAAGACTCTGAAGAAAGAAAGAGAGAAAGAGAGGAAGGAAGGAAGGAAGGAAGGAAGGAAGGAGAAAGGAAGGAAGAAAGAAGAAAAGAGAAAAAAGCAAAGGTTAAATAGTAATAAAAAAAAAAGTGCATATCTGTCTTGGAGAGACCAAGCATGAGCCTACAACTGTTCTCTCCCAGTGGAGTCGTGTGGACAACACTTAGCTTTTCCCAGCAATGAAGTATGATAACATGCATGGGATATTGCCAACCAGGGAAGCTCACCTGAGCCTTGATGTTCAGCGTTTTTCCTGGGGCTGGTCACACAGGCATGGACAAGGTCACACACGGTGACCTCACTTACTCAGTCTCCAGCCCCTCCAGAGTCAAACTGATGCCATGTGGCCCAAGGCCCCCACCACAGATCCCACTGTTAGCATAGACTATCCAGGGTGGCCCAAGGCCCCAGGTAAACCAAGGCACTCTTATCAGACGGGACATTCCAAGGACTTAGAGGTTACCTCCCAGGAGCCCATCAAGGGCCAGAACTTTCTTAGGAATGTGCGGGGTTTGGACAACCCAGGCCTGCTGAGTTAGCCCTTTACTGCACAAGGGTCCAAACAGTGACGTCAGTACCCAGTGTTCTACGTCTCCCACTTGGCTTTCCTCCGTGATGATCACCAACAGAGGTTTTCCACACAGGGGCCACCAGCAGATGGAGTCTTACCCCCAACCACCTTGGCCAGCCTGGTCTGTCTTATCACAGAGCTCCAGCCAGATTCCCAGGTTTCATGCTCATTGGCCCAGCTGGAGTCATGTGACCATCCCAGAGCCAGTTAGTAGGGATCAGATGAGCCAGGCTGGCATCACATCCCTACCCAAAGCAGAGGGTGCAAAGCCAGGTCGCCATGCGCTGTGGAGCTCGGGGACTGGGTGTTTCCCCAGGGGGAAACTGGAGAGGAGAGAGGAGAATGGAGGGAGGTTTGGGCCTGATGGCTGCTTTTGCAAAAGCCCTTTCCTTAGCGTGGTGTCTGCAGCTGCATCTGAGCTACCACAGCTGAGTGGAGTAGGTAAACAGCCAGAAGCTGAGGGTAGTGGCTCACACCTGTAATCTCTGCACTTCGGGAAGCCAAGGCAGGAGCATCACTTGAGCCCAAGAGCTCGAGACCAGCCTGGGCAACAAAGTGAGCTCCTCGTCTCTACAAAAAATAAATAAATAAATAACTGGGTGTACTGGTGCACATCTGTAGTCCTAGCTACTTGGGAGGAAGCATTGCTTAAGCCCAGGAGTATGAGGCTACAGTAAGCCATGGTCATATCACTGCACTCCAGCTTGGGTGACAAGAGTGAGACCCTGTCTCAGAAAAAGAAATAAAAATTAAAAACTGGGGCCGGGCGCGGTGGCTCACGCCTATAATCCCAGCACTTTGGGAGGCCGAGAAGGGCGGATCAGGAGATCGAGACCACCCTGACTAACACGGTGAAACCCAATCTCTACTAAAAATAAAAAAAAAAAAAAAAATGAGCCGGGCGTGATGCCAGGCGCCTGTAGTCCCAGCTACTGGGGAGGCTGAGGCAGGAGAATGGCGTGAACCCGGGAGGCGGAGCTTGCAGTGAGCCGAGATCGTGCCACTGCACTCCAGCCTGGGCGACAGAGCGAGACTCCACCTCAAAAAAAAAAAAAAAAAAACTGGCCAGGCATGGAGGCGTATGCCTGTAATCCCAGCAGTTTGGGAGGCCAAGGTGGGTGGATCACTTGAGGTCAGGGGTTCAAGCCCAGCCTGGCCAATATGCTGAAACCCCGTTACTACTAAAAATACAACAGTTAGCTGGATGTGGTGGTGGGCGCCTATAATCCTAGCTACTCGGGAGGCTGAGGCAGGGGAATCACTTGAACCTGGAAGGTGAAGGTTGCAGTGAGCCAAGATTGCACCACTGCACTCCAGCCTGGGTGACACAGCAAGGCTCTGTCTCAAAAAAATAATAATAATAAATAAATAAATAATAAATAAATAAACAGAGCCAGGGTGGCCTGTAAAGTCTCAAATATTTCCTGGCTGGCCCTTGAAGAAAAAGTTTGCCTACCTTAGGTGTTGGGGGTTGGGGTCAAGTAGGATTTGATTGGCATCAGTTCAGAAATGTGAATGATGCCTGTGAAAGATGCTAGGAGTTGGGGCAGAAAAGAAGAGAATAGAATGGATACAGAATTGGGTGGAGAGGAAAAGAATCAAGTAGACTTGTGTAGAACGGAGTAGAATATGATAGAACAGAATTTATCAGAGCGGATCTCACTTAGCAAAGGGAACGAGCTTTTGTGAAATTTTTGTTTCAGTACTGTGTGTACCTCTGTCACTGCAGCCGGAATCATGCCATGTAAAGCTCATCTCTCACTAAGGATCTTGGACTAACAGGCTTAAGAAACACTGGCCCTTGGCCAGGCATGGTGGCTCATGCCTATATCCCAACACTTTGGGAGGCTGAGGCGGGTGGATTACCTGAGGTCGGGAGTTTGAGACCAGCCTGGCCAACATGTCGAAACCCTCTCTACTGAAAACACAAAGCCAGATGTGGTGGCGCACGCCTGTAATCCCAGCTACTCGGAAGGCTGAAGCAGGAGAATCCCTTGAACCTGGGAGGCGGAGGTTGCAGTGAGCTGAGATCACACCACTGCACTCCAGCCTGGCGAGAGAGTGAGACTCCATCAAAAACAAAAAACAAAAACAAAAAAAATTAGGAAAGAAGGAAAGAAGGAAGAGAGGAAAGAAAGACTGTTCCACAGAATAGCAGCGGCCACAGTCCACAGTGCCTCTTGGATGTGGAGGGATCCTTTAGCCAGCCAGATACATTAGATAGATCAATAGTGTATTTAGTGGTGCTTGCCTGTACCTGTCAGTGTTCTAGGCCTGTGACCAAGGACTGTTGCCAAGGCGGGGACACACAGCTAATAGGTGGAGGAGATGGGATTTGTACCCAGAAACTCAGACCCGACCAAGAGTGTGAGGCCTTGGCTCCTGGGTCAGGTGGCCTCGCACCTTGGAAGTCAGCCATTGCATCCCCTTTCACCTCCACCTAGGTGAAGCCACTGCTGCAGGTGACACGGCAGGATGAGGTGCTGCAGGCACGGGCCCAGGAGCTGCAGAAAGTGCAGGAGCTGCAGCAGCAGAGCGCCCGCGAAGTTGGGGAGCTCCAGGGCCGAGTGGCACAGGTGAGGGGGCGGGGGCAGGGCGTGGGGGCGTGTCTTGGGGGCGGGGCTGTGTAGCATGGGTGGAGCCAGGAGTGAGGGGCGGGGCTTCCGGCTGAGCCAGCCTGTGCCCTGGCACGGCTGTCGGGAGGATGGGAGCGAAGCTAAGGTGTACTGAGGCCTGGCGGGGATTGGGGCTGTTTAGTTTGGTTGAATCGTGACGTGCAGGGAGCAGGGCCCTGGGGGTGTAGCCAGGGTGTGGGCCGGGTAGGGGTGGGGTGGGAGAGTCCTACAGAGCCAGAATGGAGCTGGGCTGTAAGATCTGGGGGCAGGAGCCTCAGCTGTGGCCGGGCTATGGTATGCAGGCGGTGGACTTAAAACTGTTTCCAGTATTTGGCTATCTTAAAATAATGCTAGAACATTTGGGAGGCTGACGCGGGCAGATCATCTGAGATCAGGAGTTCAAGACCACTCTGGTCAACATGGTGAAACCCCGTCTCTACTAAAAATGCAAAACTTAGCCGGGTGTGGTGGCGCACGCCTGTAATCCCAGCTCCTTAGGAGGTGGCTGTTGCAGTGAGCCGAGATGGCGTCGCTGCACTCCAGCCTGGGTGACAGAGTGAGACTCCGTCTCAAAAATAATAATAATGATAATAATACTAGAACAAACCCCTTCTTGAGCATTTTTCTGTTTGCCTTTTCTGCATTATTTTCTGTGGTTACATTTCTAAGTATGGAAGTATTAAATGAAATGTGAGATGGTAGAAAGACCCTTCAGGGGTTATTTGAAGGATGGACTGGAAGGGGAAAGGCTGGAGGCTGGGAGGCTCAGGGGGGAGGCTGGGGAGGAGTCTGGAGAGAGACAGGTGAGAGGAGGCACACCTGAGCCTGTTGGGGCTGTAGGGACAGAGAGGAGGGGCCAGAGAGAGCAGGGATGCAGTCTGATGACTGTGAGAGGTGAGGGAGGAGGACATCCCCAGGATTCTGACTTAGTGATTAGGGGGATGTGGGCTCATCCTGAGATGGGGACCTGAGGGGGAGGAGGTGGGGACACTGTGTCCTCTCACCCCTCAGTCCTGCCCTGGAGGCCTTAAAGGCCAAAGCAATTTACAAGGCAGCAGCAGGCACCTGGTGCAGGTTGCCCTGGGAGCCCTGCCTGCTGACCACTAACTTCCCACACACTCCCCAGCTGGAAGAGGAGCGCACCCGCCTGGCAGAGCAGTTGCGAGCAGAGGCAGAACTGTGTGCAGAGGCCGAGGAGACGCGGGGGAGGCTGGCAGCCCGCAAGCAGGAGCTGGAGCTGGTGGTGTCAGAGCTGGAGGCTCGCGTGGGCGAGGAGGAGGAGTGCAGTCGTCAGCTGCAAACCGAGAAGAGGAGGCTGCAGCAGCACATACAGGTCTGGCCCCCTGCATGCCCACCAGGCCACCCTCCAGACCCCTCTGTCTACACCTTTGCTTCTGCAAACCATGTGTCTTTGGCCCACGAATTTGTAGAAAACTCAGTTCTAAGTGAATTTGCAAAAAGTATACATTTTTGATTCAGATCACGGGAGACCCTAGAATGTGTGAGCTTCGTGTATGGGTGGATCCAGACGTCCAAGTGATATATTCAGCTTCAGGCATGGCTGGATCCAGGCGCCCAAGTGCTGTCCTCAGCTTCAGGCATGGCTGGATCCAGGCATTTAGGCAATGTCCTCAGTACTCCCCCTCTCTCCATCTCCTGGCTTCATTCACCGGCAGGCTGCCCTGATGGTTCCTCTTCAAAATCTAGTGCGTATTTTACACTACAGCACATCTCAATTCAGATGCTAAATTCTCATTGGAAATACTTGATCTGTATTTCAATTTCACAATTTCTGCAGTTTATAAAAACTAGATTCACATGGCCAAGTTGTTCCAAACATGCTTAAAAAGCTTTTCAGTGATTGGGTGTCTCGTTTTAAATTTAAAATAAGTAAAATTAAATAAGACAGAAAATTCAGTTCATTAGTCCACATCAGCCACCTTTCAAGGGCTCAGTAGTGTTTTTTGGTTTTTTGTTTCTTCGAGACAGAGTCTCGCTCTGTCGCCCAGGCTGGAGTGCAGTGGCGCCATCTCAGCTCACTGCAACCTCCGTCTCCCAGGCTCAAGCAATTCTCCTGCCTCAACCTCTGCAGCAGTATCTGGGATTACAGGCGTGTGCCACCACACCCAGCTAATTTTTTTGTTTTTAGTAGAGACAGTGTTTCAGTATGTTGGCTAGGCTGGTCTCGAACTCCTGACCTCAAGTGATCCACCTGCCTCAGCCTTCCAAATTGCTGGGATAACAGGCGTGAGCCAGCGCACCCGACCTATTTACTATGTTTGTTGTTTATAATCTGTACCCCTAACCCCCACATAAGAAAGTGATTTCCACAAGGATAGGTGTTCATTTTTTTTTCAGAGGCAAGATCTCGCTCTGTTACCCAGACTTCAGTGCAGCGGTGCGGTCATCTCTCACTGCAGAAGGCCAGGCACTTTTCCCCATCCTCAGTGCCTAGAACTGTGCCTGGCATACACTAGGCACTCAATAAATGCTTGTTGAGCTAATGAATGAAATGGGAAAGCCAATAGAGGTTTTATCCTTCCCAGCCTCACCCAGGGTATGCACCTCTCCGAACCACCCCGGGGATCCGCAGACTATCCCCGTCCCCATCCTTCCCATCACGCTCCATCTGTTGGCCCATGTATCCTCACTCCTCCTGCCTCCCCTCCCCAGGAGCTAGAGGCCCACCTTGAGGCTGAGGAGGGGGCACGGCAGAAACTGCAGCTGGAGAAGGTGACGACCGAGGCAAAAATGAAGAAATTTGAAGAGGACCTGCTGCTCCTGGAAGACCAGAACTCCAAGCTGAGCAAGGTTGGGGGCCTGAGGGCAGCAGGGAAAGTGGGGAGCGGGTGCGTTGGTGCGTTAATGAACTTCAAACCGTGGGGGTTACCACACTGCACTTCTCAGGTGTGCACTGGTGGGGGTGGGATGGGTCTATAGACCCCAGGGAATGGGAAGAAGAGGGAGATGTAGGGGGAGGAAGGTCAGAGAAGGGTGAAGAGGAGCAGAAACATAGATGAGAACACCACCAGAAGCTGCAGATCAGGTAGGGGCTGCTCCTGGCCCGGTTCCTGACTGCCCCCCATCCCACCCCTCCCCTCAGGAGCGGAAGCTGCTAGAAGATCGCCTGTCCGAGTTCTCATCCCAGGCAGCTGAGGAGGAGGAGAAGGTCAAGAGCCTCAATAAGCTACGGCTCAAATATGAGGCCACAATCGCAGACATGGAGGGTGAGCTCCTGCCCAGCCAGTGGGGAGCTGTAGGGGTCTGTGTGTGCTCTGATGGGGGACTTCAGGCAAGCCCCACGTGCTACAGGGCCTCCGTGGCTGTGTCTGCTAAATGGGATAGGAAGGAAAGCTCAGGGCGGATTGAGTGTCCTCCCAGCTCTTGAGTTCTTCATGCATCTCTAAATCCAACTCCCTTTCTCTCCGTGGTGTCTTGGGTTATCCTACTTTCTTCCCATCTGACTGCTCCACTGTCTGTCTGTTTCAGACACGCTTTTGTCTCCCTGTCCCTTCCTGTTGACTTAGAATCAGAAACAGAAGGGAAGGGGCACAGGGAGGAGGCAGGGCTGTGGACACAGGGCAGAGAGAGTCAGAGGCAGGAGGCACGGGCTGTCAGTGGGGATGAGGAGGAGAGGACAGTGCGTAGGTGTCTGGCCGAGGGTCTAGGACAACATTGTGGGGAGAGTCCCTGAGATAGATGGGGAAGGTGGGAGGAGGAGAAGGCGTTAAGGGAGGTGCTGAACTTAGCCTTACATGTGGCTGGGGGCCTGTGGTCTCTGTGGGAGCGGCTGAGTGTTCAGGCCTGGAGTCCTCATGCATGGCCCCCAACCCTGCCTCCAGACCGCCTACGGAAGGAGGAGAAGGGTCGCCAGGAGCTGGAGAAGCTGAAGCGGAGGCTGGACGGGGAGAGCTCGGAGCTGCAGGAGCAGATGGTGGAGCAGCAACAGCGGGCAGAGGAGCTGCGGGCCCAGCTGGGCCGCAAGGAGGAGGAGCTGCAGGCTGCCCTGGCCAGGTGCAGGGTGGGGCGGGCTTGGTGGGGCAAGCATGGGGTGCCCAAGTCAGAAGCTCCTGGGTACAAACCCCGGCGGAGCCACTCACCAGCCACAGACAAGCCATATCCCCTCTGCACCTCAGTGTCCCCTTCTGTCAAATGAAGATAGCAAGAGTTCCAGGCCCACTAACTTAAGTGAAAAGTGAAACGAGACTCTATGTGTCTGGTAACTTGCATGACAGTGCACAAACGGAACAAGAAAATGCTATTTCTAGGCCAGGTACGGTGGTTCATACCTGTAATCCTAGCACTTTGGGAGGCCAAGGCAGGTGGATCACTTGAGGTCGGGAGTTTAAGACCAGCCTGGCTAACATGGCGAAACCCCGTCTCTACTAAAAATACAAAAATTAGCTGGGTGTGGTGGCAGGCGCCTGTAATCCCAGCTACTCAGGAAGCTTAAGCACGAGAATCGCTTGAACCTGGGAGGCAGAGGTTGCAGTGAGCCGAGATCACACCACTGCACTCTAGCCTGGCGACAGAGCAAGACGATGTCTCAAAAAAAACAAAGCTATTTCTTCCTCTTCCCCTTCTTGGCCTCGCCACACCAAACAGCCCCGAATCAGCTGAGATTTGACAAGTGGCCTATGTTAGGAATCATAATAATTATATTTACACTCGTTCACAATAATTGAGCTCCCTACTGTATGCCAGATGTGATGCTTAGTATTTCAGATGCTTTTTATGCGCTGTGTTCATGCAATCTAAGACCCCCTATCTGATTACAAGTACAGCTCCATTTCAGAGATGTTAAAATGTGAAAAGCTGGCCGGGCGGCACTTTGGGAGGCCGAGACGGGCGGATCACGAGGTCAGGAGATCGAGACCATCCTGGCTAACACGGTGAAACCCCGTCTCTACTAAAAAAATACAAAAAACTAGCTGGGCGAGGTGGTGGGCGCCTGTAGTCCCAGCTACTCTGGAGGCTGAGGCAGGAGAATGGCGTGAACCCGGGAGGCGGAGCTTGCAGTGAGCTGAGATTCGGCTACTGCACTCCAGCCTGGGCGACAGAGCGAGACTCCGTCTCAAAAAAAAAAAAAAGTGAAAAGCTGTGCATCTTAGAGTTGGTGGAACATGGGGGGGGTGTGTGTGTGTGTGGTTAAGAACATATATATGTGTATATATATATATATACACACACACACACAATTTCCATATATAATTGTGTATATATATATATATACACAATTTTTTTTTAAGATGGAGTCTTGTTCTGCTGCCCAGACTGGAGTGCAGTGGTGTGATCTTGGTCACTGCCACCTCCGCCACCCAGATTCAAGTGATTCTCATGCCTCAGCCTCCCAAGTAACTGGGATTACAGGCCCCCGCCAACATGCCCAGCAAGTTTTGTATTTTTAGTGGAGATGGGGTTTCACCACGTTGCCCAGGCTGGTCTCAAACTCCCGACCCCAGGTGATCCACTTGTCTCGGCCTCCCAAAGTGCTGGGATTATAGGTGTGAGGCACTACACCTGGCCGTGAACACACATCTTTGAGTCTGACTTCTGGGTTGGAATCCTGGCTTCTCCCCTTTCTAGTCATGTGACCTCACCCAAGTCACGTCACCTCTCTAGCCTCAGTTTTTTCATCTATAAAATGGGGTAATTATAGATGCTACTCCTAGCGTTAGTGTGAGGGTTAAAGAAGAAAGTGCTCCTCAGACGCTTGGCATACCCTGAGCCCTCAATAAATGCTGGATGTTTCTGTTACTACTTTTATTACTCTTGCTAATTTTTTTTGTTTGTTTTTTACTGAGGTGAAATTCACATAAAAGTAACCATTTTTTAAATGTACAATTCAGTAGATTTTGCCCATTCACAATGCTGTGTAACCATCACCTCTATCTAGTTCTAGAACAGTTTCCCTTTTATTGAGATGGAGTCTTGCCCTGTCGCCCAGCCTGGAGTGCAGTGGCGTGATCTTGGCTCACTACATCCTCTGCCTCCTGGGTTCAAGCAATTCTCCTGCTTCAGCCTCCCAAGTAGCTGGGACTACAGGTGCCCACCACCACACCCAGCTAATTTTTGTATTTTTAGCAAGGACTGGGTTTCACTATGTTGGCCAGGCTGGTCTCGAACTCCTGACCTCAGGTGATCCACCTGTCTCAGCCTCCCAAAGTGCTGGGATTACAGGCATGAGCCACTGTGCCAGCCTCCAGAATATTTTTATCACCCCAAAAGGAAACCCTGTATGTATTAAGCAATCATGGCCAGGCACAGTGACTCACGCCATAATCCAGCACTCTGAGAGGGGGAGGCAGGAGGGTCGCCTGAGCCCAGGAATTCAAGACCAACCTGGGCAATATAGTGAGACCCTGTCTCTACCAAAAACTTAAAAAAATTAGCCAAGCATGGTGGCGTGTGCCTGTAGTCCCAGCCACTTACCGGGCTGAGGTGGGAGGATCATTTGAACCTGGGAAGTCGAGGCTGCAGGGAGCCACTGCACACTGGTCTAGGTGACAGAACGAGATCCTCTCTCACAAAAAAAAAAAAAAAAAAGCAGTCACTCCCCATCCCTCCTTCTCTCCAGACTGGCAGCCTCTGATCCACTTTCTGTCTAAATAGAATTTGCCTATTCTAGATATTTCATACAACATGTGGCCTTTTTGTGCTTTATTTTTATCGTCATCCCCCCAGCAACCCTGGTAAAGGGGAGTGTTCATTGTCATGTCTTCCCACAAACCTGCCCTTCTTAAGTCACTTGCCGGAGCAGGGGGCCAGGAGAGGATACTGAGCCAGGCCTATGTGGCTCCCTGAGCCATTAACCCCCAGGTCCCAGTTGATACAGCCCCCAGATCCAGCTTCTCTTTGCAATGACACTGCATGAAGGGACAGGAAGCCACAGCCCTGTAAGAGTTAAAAGGAGGGACTCCGGGGCAAGCCAGCCACTCACGGACCGGGTAACCTCGGCAAGTGCTTTCTCCGTGCTGGGCCTCAGTTTCCTCATTTGGCAGGAACGTTAAATGAGGTGATACAAGTAAAGCACTGGCATGAGGCAGGAACTTACTAAGTGTCTCCTACGATTACTGTTGCTGTCATTCCCACTTTACAGCTAAGAAAACTGAGGTTCGAAATGAGTCAGGCTGGGCGAAGTGGCTCACTCCGCAATCTCAGCACTTTGTAAGGCTGAGGTGGGAGGATGGAACCACCTCCTGGCTTGAGGCCAGGAGTTCGAGACCAGCCCTGGGCAAGATAGTGAGACCCCGTGTCTTTGGGGAAAAAGAAAAATTAGCCAGGCGTGATGGACCACAACTGTGGTCTCAGCTACATGGGATGCTGTAGTAGGAGGATCACTTGAGCCCAGGAATTTGAGGCTGCAGTAAGCCATGACTGCACCACTGCACTCCAGCCTGGGTAACAGAGGAAGACCCTGTCTCAAAAAAATTAAATTAGTACTGGAGTCAAGTACCCAGTGGCAGAGATAGGATTCGAACCTGGGACTGGCCACCCCCAAAGCCCACATCCAGCCTCTCTGTCCCCAGAAATCATTGCCTTGCCCTTGCCTGCTCCTGTACCAACTCCATGGTTCTTGTCACCCCCAGGGCAGAAGATGAGGGTGGGGCCCGGGCCCAGCTGCTGAAATCCCTGCGGGAGGCTCAAGCAGCCCTGGCCGAGGCCCAGGAGGACCTGGAGGCCGAGCGCGTGGCCAGGACCAAGGCGGAGAAGCAGCGCCGGGACCTGGGCGAGGAGCTGGAGGCACTGCGGAGCGAGCTGGAGGACACGCTGGACTCCACCAACGCACAGCAGGAGCTCCGGTGAGGCCCCGTGGCAGCCGCTGTCACAGCCTGTGCACGTGCAGGGCTGGGGGAAGGACTTAGGTGCAAAGTCTCTGTCCTTACAGAGGCTTACAGTTCAGTTGTTCGTGAACCACCAGCTCTAGGCCCAGCCTGGTCAAGCTGGGGACAGAGATGGGTCAGACCCAGGTGTTACCCTTGGGAATTTCCAGTCTCAGGGGAGGCAGATTCAGGCAAAGACAATCTCAGCCCAGAACAAGGGGTGCTTTAGTGGAGCGACACAGGGCATTGCGGGTGCTAACTGAAGACCCCTAAACCAAGTCTATGGGAAATCCAGGAAGACTTTCCTGAGGAAGGGCCTTTTGGATAAGGGTTTTGAAAGGTGAATAGGAGTTCACCCTTAAAGCCACACTCCTTCCACAGTGTCACCACCCAGATCTCCTGGGGAGCATTACATGAGGCTCTCATGTTTTTAGGAAACATGGAAAGGAGAAACAACCAGCTCCCCCAAAGCCCCTGCCTTCCTCTGCTCTGAAATTCTCTTCCCCTCTCCCTTCCCCCAATAAAGGTCCAAGAGGGAACAGGAGGTGACGGAGCTGAAGAAGACTCTGGAGGAGGAGACTCGCATCCACGAGGCGGCAGTGCAGGAGCTGAGGCAGCGCCACGGCCAGGCCCTGGGGGAGCTGGCGGAGCAGCTGGAGCAGGCCCGGAGGGTGCGTTGGGGCAGGGGGACAGGGCGGGGAGCCACAGGGAGGGCAGGGCAGGACGCGGTTTGGAGGAGGTACCACTGGCTGGTTCTATAACGGCCATCTCGTCTCTCTGGGCTCCTTTCCTCACGCATTCATGTGCAGCTTTCTTTCAGCAAGCATGAATACGGTGTGGACTATATTCCAGGAGCATTGCTGGGAAACCAGCCATGAACCCAACAACCAGCACTGCCTTCCCTTGTGGAGCTTTCCTTTTAGTGAGAGAGGCAGAGAGTAAACGATATAAATACCTTCAGTTTATATCGGGGCGATAAGTGCTATGGGGCCATAATGAACAGAAAAAGGGGATCAGAATTCTAAGGCGGGTGAGTTTTTAAGTAGAGAGGCTGCGGAGGTATTCTGTGAGAAGGTGGCATCAGGGTAAAAAACTGAGGGAGTGGCCAGGCACGGTGGCTCATGCCTGTAACTTTGGGAGGCTGAGGCAGGCAGATCACTTGAGGCTAGGAGTTCAAGACCAGCCTGGGCAACATGGTGAAACCCCACCTCTACTAAAAATACAAAAATTAGCTGGGCGTGGTGGTGTACACTCCTGTA